TCATTGGAGAATAAGAATTTAAAATGGGGGCAAATATCATTATGACATAAATGTTTTTTTCTCTAATACACATTGGACACAATTAACGGCACCCTTTTATTCAATGCTTTTTGAAACCTCCATTTGGCATAGTATCAGCTCTGAGTTTTCTCCTTTAATTAATGCCTGATGAGGTTAGAGAGCACCTGACAAGAGATCAGAGACAATTCCTTCATCCAGAATCTCTCCAGACCCTTCAGATTCCCAGCTCCATGATGGTGCTTCTCCTCTTCAGTTCACCACACTCATTTTCTATAGGGTTCAGGTCAGGGAACTGGAATGGCCATAGCAGAAGCTTGGTTTTGTGCTCAGTGACCCATTTTTGTGTCGTTTTTAAGGTTTGTTTTAGGATTATTGTCCGGTTGGAAGATCCAAACATGGCCCATTATAAGATTTCTAACAGAGTCATTCACTTTTAGATTTTTATCTGTTGGTATTTGATAGAATCAATGATGCCATGTGTCTAAACAAGATGTCCAGGACCTCCAGCAGAAATATAGGCCCACGACATAAAAAATACAGCTGTATATTTCATTGTACACATGGGGTACTTTTTATACCTGTGTGCACCAAACCCATCTTGAGTGTTTGTTGCTAAAAAGCAAATTTTTTAGTTACATCATAGAAGCCAGTCCCATTTGAAGTTCCAGTCGTGTCTGACAACAGAATATGCTGGGGATTGTTTTTGGTTGAGAGCATTTTCTTTTCTTGATTTTTATTTCTTGAAACCCTCACTTTTTTTTTAAACCCTCCCAAACAACATGTGGAGTAGGTGCTGTTTGATTTTCTTTTTTTAAGGTTTTCTTACCCTGAGACTCAACTATTTCTTCTCACCGTGTATTAGGACAATATAGACACACGTCCTCTTCCAGGCAGATTTGTAACATTTTCTGTTGATTGGAAATTCTTAGCTTCTGGGTCAAGTCAAGGCTGTGATTATGTATATAGGCAAGTAGAGACAATGGGTGATGCCTTAAAAATATGATATTCAACCAGTTTTTAAACAAAATAAAACCAATATGAGCAGACTGTAATGTAAATAAACAAGTCATTCTCAGATTAAAACGGAAACAATAAGGTGATGTCTGAGGTAGTCACCACGTAGCAACAACATAAATGACAATTACATCTCCAACTAATAAAAAAAAAATCCAGCATTATGAAATACAGCTACTTTCTCGTTCCATTCCATTGCAAAGTTTTGTCATGGTCAAATAAACCAAATGAAGGTGCTCTCCAAACCATTTATTTTATATTTTATATATACTGCATTCATTTGTAACTGTCGCTCTTGTTATAAATGTGATATTGACTCAGCTACATAATAAGAAAAACTACATTACCAAGAATGTTGTCCACAGCTGTAGGTGTGTGTTTGTGTGTGATCGCTTTGCAAGTGAGTGTCTGTAAACATGGTTTGCTCTTTCTTCACTGAGCTGTAGCTTTTAATAGTCTCCCCAAACTCCTCATCCTCTACATACTGCAAAAAAAAAAAAAAACAGTCATCATCAGTTATCATAATTCCTTCACCAGGCAAACTGAATAGACTGCTGGAACACATCAGGAATGTTTACATTAATATAAAAGTACATGTAAATGTACACAAGTTGTTTGCAAAATTTTGACTTTTTACATGATTGGTCATCTCCACCTGGCTCTGAATGGGCGTGACGCTTCTGGGTCAAGTCAAGGCTGT